TATGAGAACCACACAAGGCAAAGCAAGAACAATGGCAAAGGGGAACCGAAAGGGAAAAGAGGGGCAGCAGTCCATCTCTCCAAAGGCCTGGGAGAAGAGCCAGGTCTTTAAGGCCCTTTGAAATGCCTGGGATTTTTGAAGTAACACTCTCAGCTTCCATTTTGTTTCCTAGTGAAAGCCTTGAAGGAGGCCTGGCCAGTCGGCTTTCTTTGGGTACTAGACTGAAAAGGGAAAGGAAATGAATTTGGTGAAAGCAGATTTCCAACTCCTGCTTAAAATGCAGATTAAAATATACTTTTTTATAAACATTAGTAGGAAGTTGTAAATGTATACTTCAAAAAATGGTAGGGAAAGTTTGCACGTAATTATATTCAATTATTCATAGTGAAAGGGAGGGGAGAATGCTTTGCTCTGACCTCATCTCCATCCTTGTTCTTTTTTTTTTCTAATTCTGCAAGAAAGAGCAAGAGGATCTCTGTCCGTATGTCTCTTGTGTTTATGTGTGTGAGAGAAAATGCTAGGTATAAGAAGCCTTTCATATCATATTTTGTAAAGAAATCAAAATCAGGAAGACAGGAAAACATAACAAATGAAGCGCATGATTATAAGTTAGATAAAAATACAGATATAGGTAATAAATTATTTTCTTCTCCTAGCTATATAGTTTGATGGAACTGCTTCATATGGCAAGATACTAGAGTAGAGAAGAAATCAATTAAATGAAACTGAATTTTAAAAGAATGCAATTGAGGCCCATTTGTCATTTTTAGGTCACTGCTGACATCTCTGAATATAATTTTCATATGAGCTGCATTTCAAGGCATGTCTGTGCTTGAAGAAGCAACATTTTCGCAGCAGGAGACCAGATCAAAATGAAGCAGTCAGATGCAGGTGCACAGTACTAAGAAGTAGGCGATTTACCCTGAAGCAGGATTGTTGGGCTAAGAAAGCAGCAGCTCTCCCCACAGATTGGACAGGTTCTCTGATACGGAGCCTACTGCCAAAAACAGTCATGGGGGGCCTAAATAATTGTTCTTTCGTTTGTATTTAATGAGATGCATTGCCCAATGCTCAACAACAGAGGTATTCCTTTTGTCATGCTAACAAGATACTATTCATGCCCTGCTTCCTTTGATTTCTGTTTAATCCTTCCTGCTTCTCAAGGCTCCAGCCAGGCAGTGAAAGAGTTGAAAAGATGGAGGTTTGCACTGTGTGCATCTGTTGCTTAGATCAATTCTATTTGGCTAAATGAAAGAGAGGAAACAAGAGTTTCCGTGAGCAGCATTACAAATGCCACATACATTGTACACATAGGGGCAATATACAAACTTAGAATCATCAACAACTCAGAGTCTCCAAAGTGTAATCATTGAGAGCCAGTCTGGTGCAGTGATTGACGTTCTGGATTAGAAACCACGAGACTGCCAATTTTAGTCCTCCCTTAGGCATGAGAGCCATTTGGATGATTCAGGGCCAGTCGCTCTCTCTCTCTCTCTCTCTCTCTCTCTCTCTCTCTCTCTCTCTCTCTCTCTCTCTCTCTCTCTCTCTCTCTCTCTCTGCCCAACCCATCTCAAAGGGTGACTGTGGTGGGGAACTAGAAGAGGAAGCGTTATGTAGGCTGCTTTCAGTTGTATAAAATAAATATGAATTATAAATATAGAAATAGCAATCTGTTTCATTGTTGCCATATCAGGTGATGCAAGGATTTAGAAAAGCCAATCTGGAAAAATCCAGAAGATATTTAGTCTGCAATGTACAATTAGGTTTGGGGAGAAGCAATTTTAAGTAATGTATACTCAAAATGGCAGCTTAAAGGTGACTGTGGGCCAATAACCTACTATGCAAGATTGTTATTGTGAGGAAAAATTGAAGGAGTGTGTGCAGTATAATATATTAGAGCTCTGCAGTACTACAAATCCTCTTTGAAAAGCTATTTCACCAAGAATCACCTGCCTATAGTTCTTTGAAATATAGTAGTACCTCAGTACTTCACTGCTTCAAAACTTGTCAAATTTGATACACGACACATTTTGACATGAAAATATTGTCCTAGTACTCATTGTTTGTTTGGTACTCAATGCGCTGTGATAGGAAAAGAGAAGAATGGACAGGAAGTTGTTTATGCAGGGCCTCTGCAAAAGGAACGGGGATGGCCACAGAGGGCGGACAGGAAGTCGGCCATGCTGGGAAGGTCACTGACATAGGAAAAAGGACAGACAGGAAATCCTTAAACTTATACACTGCCCCATAGTGTTTTTAGCACTTTTTGGGCAGTTTATAATGTAAGCATTTTGCCCCCAAAATTCTAGATTCTCATTTTATTGCCCTTGAAAGGATGAAAGGCTGAGTCAACCTTGAGCCACTCAGGATCAAATTTCTGGCTGTGGACAAAGTTTACCTGCAATACTGCATAATAACCACTGTACCGTCAGGGCTCCTATATTAAATATATTGGCAAAAATAGTAAAAAAAATCGGTGTTTGGGGCTGTTATTTATAATTGCAGTTTATAGATTAAATACTGCAAATACACTGCATTGCAATAAGTGTATTTTATAAAGCTTTCCTGGTTAAAGCCATATCCACAATGATATCTCCTTGCTGCAGAACAATCCAGTGATTGTTTTCCCTGGATGACAGTGAAAGGCTGTTAATAATTTAATATATGCACTGTCTCCATGATTTTAATCTTTTAATTTTGATTAAGATTGTAATGTGGTCTTTTTGCAATTATTGTTCAACAGCAGACAGATACATTTTTGTGAATATTTTTAGACTCAAAATAAAAGTGTGAGGTCTAGCAAATGTGGTTGTCAAAATGAGCCAGGAACATACTGCAAGAAAATCTATTCTAGTAACATCGATAATGGTGGTCTTGATTATTTTTTTTTCCTTTGGGGGCAGTGCTGAGAAACAGTCAAGTAGTCACGTCTAAAGGATGGTTGCTGTAGCCCTCTCCTTCCCCCCCCCCCCCGAAAGAGTTGTACAAATAGCTTACAAAAAAAGAAGACAATATCCAGGTCTTTTAAATAAAATACACTATATCAATGTTACTACCATAGGAAAGAACATTCCCAAGGCTCTGTAAAGCAATTCCTTCTCTCCAGCATAATAATTCTAAGAATTATTAATAGATAGATCTAAGATTCATAATGAAGGGGTTCTTTTGGCAGTGGAAATTAGTTTTAGTTTTAAAAATGAATTGTATTCAAAATTGTTAGTTGAATTAATTACTGCTAGTTGAAATAATTACACTCTATAATCTAAACATCGTTAATCTGTTATAGCCATGGAGGACACAGAATACAGAATAACATAATTGGAAGGGACCTTGGAGGTCTCTTAATCCGACCCTCTGCTCAGGCAGGAAACCCCATACCATTTCAGACATATGATTGTCCAATCTCTTCTTAAAAACTTCCCAGTGTTGGAGCATTCACAACTTCTGGAGACAGGTTCCAGAGGGCAGGACAAGAAATAGTGGATGGAAACTAATCAAGGGGATAAGCAACCTGGAATTAAGGAGAAACTTCCTAACAGTGAGGACAGTTAACCAGTGGAACAGTTTGCCATCAGCAGTTGTGGGTTCTTCATCACTGGAGTCCAAGTAAATTATATCCATAGCATTTCTCTGGTCCACTAATTTTGTCAAAGAATACAATAAGATTTGTCTGGCATGATCTGTTTTTGACAAACCCATGTTGGCTTTTGGTTATGACTTTGTTTGCCTCTAAGGGTTCGCAAATTCATTGCTTGATTATCTTTTCTGGAATCTTCCCAGGTATTGAGGTCAAGCTGATAGGTCTGTAGTTTCCTGGATCCTTTCCCCCCCCCTTTTTTTTTTTTTTGAAGATGGAAACCACATCAGCTTTTTTCCAGTCCTCTGGTAGTTCCTCGGTGCTCCAGGATCTTTGAAAAATATATTTCAGTGGTTCTGCGATCACCTCTGCCAGTTCCTTTACAACCTTGAATTGTAATCCTCTGGTCCTGGTGATTTGAATTCATATAGGATGGACAGATGCTCTCTTACCATTTTCTTGCCTTTTTTAACTTATATTCCTAATCTGTTTTTTATGATACTGTTTTTGATAGGTTGGACTATTTTTTCCTTTTGTATAAAGACAGATGCAAAAAAAAAAAAAACACAGTTAAGCAGTTCTGCTTTCTCCCTGTTGTTCATTACCTTCTTGCCATTTTCTCCCATTAGTGGACCAATTATTTCCTGACTTTTTTCTTGTTTTTTACATGCTGAAAGAAGCTTTTTTGTTGTTGTTGTTGACTTTTGTCGTAATCCTTAGTTCATTTTGTGCCTTAGCTTTCCTGACTTTGTCTTTGCAGGCTCAGGCTATTTGCTGATATTCTGCCTTAGAAGGACATTTGTCTTAGCAGTTGTGCTCATATAGGTTGACCAACGCCCTCTCCAGCCAGCCAGCCAATGGGACAGCATCACAGTCTGCTAATGCCTCATTCCCATTCTCAGTCTTCACTTTGCCATATTGTCTTTTCATGGCCATAGAAAGCACATGGGAAGGCAAGCCAGATCCTTTCCTTCCAGGGGAAGGACAAGGTGAAGAAACCAAAAAGTCAGGGCCCATTCATTTCTACAGGAAGGAGGTGGGTGGGAAGCAGGACAAGGTAAGAATTTCTGCTGCTCTATCCTGCTGCTGTGGAGGAAACTATCATCACCGTGTTTTCTCTGGAGCATAAGCCAATATGATTAACTTATAGAGTTAATTGGTTCAGTTTTCCAATACAGCTAGAAGTAACACAGTGTTAGGGGAATAAAAGAGAGCAGCATCGATCTCAGATCACCTCATCCCTTATATGTAGAAAGGGCCTTAGTCTCTTATCTGTCCAAACGATAATTAGATGTAATAGGGTTTTTTCCTCCAGTGGCTATTAAATTATTTCACATCAGCCTGATAATTGCATGAGAAAGGGGGATTTACAATAGCATCTTTTCACTCACTGCTACTTGCATTTTTTTTTATTATTTTACAGATTGGGGAGAGACAGAAAGTGCTTGTTACAGAAGAATCCTTTGATTCCAAGTTTTATGTTGCTCATAATAAGTTCTACGAACAGGTAACATTTTAAAAATAAGAAAAAAAATATCCTTTTTGGCATCCTTAATTGTAACTCTCAGAAGTAATGTTCACAAATTTGATATCTAGCTTCCACCAACCCTGTGACTGGAGCTGTTAAGCACATCTGTTTTCTCCAAGTTGCAGAAAATAGATTAATTTAAATGATTTTTTTTTCTATTAATGGATTTCCTCTCATTGTTTTCATTTAAAAAATGGCATCTCTCATATTAAGATAAACTCTATTTAGATTATTATTTAGATTCTAAATAATTAGAAACATGAAATCAACTTCTAATTGGAGAAATGTTTTCTAGTTCACTGCTAGCAATAGCAACAGCAGTTAAGAGTTATATACTGCTTCATAGTGCTTTACAGTCCTTGCTAAGCAGCTTACAGTCAGCACAATGCCCCCAACAATTTGGGTCCTCATTTTACTGATCTTGAGCCAGTCAGGACTGAACGTCGGGCTGTGGGCAGAGTTTTTTAAAAGTCTAATATTGTCTAGTTTCTGTTATGACAAATGCTTTCAGATCTTAAGATACCACATGGCACTCTTTATGTTTATCTTTCTTCCTTTTTGAATGTAAAATTGTAAGTACTTTTCAAAGCATTAGGAAAAATAATCCTATTTTCTTTTAAAGATTCTTGTACCAAAGAACCCTGACTTCATGGGTAAGATGGTAGAAGTGGAAATTTTTGAAGCAGGGAAGCATTTTATGAGAGGACAGCCAGTATCAGAGGCTAGAGTGTTCACTCCATCTATCAGAAGGCCATATGCCCGAGGAGAAGTTTCTGGTTTAACAGAGGTGAGTAGTACACTTTCTTACCCCTTTTACTTAAGTCAAAAGAGGAGCTTTATCTTTTTAATTCAGTTGGTACTAGTAATTTTTGTTGTTATTGTATCTTTGTGTGCTTAAATTCTAAAAACAATTAATTAGATTTTTAGAAATATAAGTTTAATATGTCTGGCTTGGAGAAACAATAGTAATTTCAATTTTATTTCTAAAATTTGAGGTAAGTATTTTTGAAGAGGTAAATATAAATACCTATAATGTTTACCAACATTATTTTATTTTTCTGAACTTAAGAGCCACTGAAGTTCAGTTTCATTCCAAAGTGGCATAGAACTGATGGAGTTGAGAATTTTTGTCAGTTATGCTAATTTGCAAACCACTGTGTAATTTTTCAGAACTACCAATCAGAACTGTATTTTTAACAGTTTCATTTCCCTAAAGATTGACTGGGATCTTTATATAAAAATACATTCATTGTACTTAAGATTTATCCACTAATCTCACATGAAATGTTCCCTCTATTAAACATAGAAAAATCAAATTAGTATTAATAGTGCAACCAGAACCATGGATCTCATCCTAAAGTGTCAGTCACTAAAAATTATCCAGTAAAATTAGATAAGATAGGAGGAATCTTTGGGTGCTTCTATTGTAATTTATTAATGTAAAGTTCAGAGTTTCTCTCATAAAATATTCAACAAAATTGAATGTTCAATGGTAACATCTCTGTCTCTTTAGTCCAAAGGTGGGCAATTGATTTTTCCATGGGGCCGCATGAGAACATGCGATTGTGGTAGAGGGCCAAACCAATAGACTGGATTTAATTCTGTTCAATATAAATTTTATCACTTTATAAAAAGCAGTAAATTATATGGTTTTAATTAGCTGCTATTGATAAGAATACATGTTACATCTTATTTACATTTAATTTCTAATTTCTGATTACCTCACATAGGTCAGACAGGGATAGGAAAGTCTGAGATATGAAAATAATGATGATATATATCACTCATGAATTACTAGTGTGATACATAAACCCAATCATTATTTCTAGAGTTGCCTAATGAACAGTGATTTAAACCAGAGCTCCCAGCTTCAAATCCAGATTCTCTCCTCGTGGCTATGGAGTACTTTTATCTTCTCAATCAGACTTGGGTCCCAGAATAATTGTGATAATTTGAGCTTCCTGGGAACTTGTTCACAGTAAGATCTTTAAGCTGTTTTTCTGGTTTCAGAGGAATCTGTTTCATCTTCAAATGAAGCTCTCCAGAACCACATGAAATAACTCCGTTAGTTCTCCTTCCTCAGCTTTTTCTCTCAGTAATAGTGCACAATCAGTGATAATGTAAAAAAAAAAATCCCAATATCACAGATACTGTATATATACACACATACGCACAATATTTTAACTAGAAACTATTTAAAGTTAAAAATCTGAAGTCCAGAACACCAAAACAAATCCATCCATATAATTTAGCCTTTATTTGTCAATGTTATCTCAGCCTGAACACTTTAATTTTTGCACATTAACTTCCAAGGTAGCATGAGTTAATGAATTCTTGCCTTACATTAAGGCTGACTGGCTCTTGGTTAATGCAAGTTAGTAACTTTATTAAACTCCAAGCCGGGCCTTATATACATGAGCAAAGTAACTTATTGCTCACATTATCAAATTTAAGAAACCATCTTTTATTAAAATACCGATCCTACCTTATTAAAATATTTCAACATCACTGCATTATCTTACTATTTTTAGATCATCATTACTTCTGAACGATTGATATCCATTTGAATCCATGTAGAAGAGTCTAATTCAGTGCCAGATGTCCCAATAGTACTCAGTACATACAGATTATTTTGGTACAGGTAGCTGGATTCTGCAATTATCCTATGTTAATTCAGAGAAGCATTCTTGTTGGCAAATGCATAAAACTATGGACTGTATTTGCTTTAATTTAGTAGGCAATGATGTTATGATGTGGTTCCATATCAAGCTGCAGGTGCCTTATAGGTTCTTCTGGGTCTGGCTGCTGAAAAGGCAGCTGTATCAAGGCACCTGGATTTCCACTCGCTTCATTTAACTGTAATTGGTTGTACTGAGTTTGTTTGGAAAGTACTAAGATGCCATGATATTCAGAAATAACCATCTTCTCTTGAGCATTAAAAGCAGTCTTGGGGATATTAAGAGCGCCTAATGGAGCTCTATCTCTATGTTGAATAGCATGTGGAGCAACTAATTCTCAGTAGTTGTTCTATAACAATAAATTCTCTTTATTAGAGCTCTTTTAAAACCAGAGCACTTTCTTGATTCATATGGTGGCCCGTGGTTAAACTCACAAAAAATTCTAAATCCAGTTGAAGACCGAGAATGTCCAACCATCTGGACTTTAATTCATAATGTCAAGCTTGCTCAGATGTGCAGTAATTGAATGAGGAAATGGAGACAGACATTTTTACATAACCAGGATAAAACAGTTCGGGAGGGAGGCGCTAATAGAAGAAACGGGGCAAATGAAGAAGAGAAAAAAAGTGGCAAAACAGATGGGCTCAGGAAAACAAAACAAATTAACATAAAGTTACTGGAGCCATGCAATATATTAAACTCTGTTTTCTCTACCAGTGTCTGTTGCATAAACTACTTTTGGGTGGATTCATACCTGTTGTAAATCATCATTTACAAATCTCTTTACTAGGTTTACACAGTTTATTAAACCAACATCAAACATGATGCACGGACCTTATTATAGTGTGAATTTAGTCATTAAATCTGTTTCACGAAAAAAGAACTGTTGTCTAGCCTGCTAAAAGACAAAAACACTAGCTAGATTAATCTCTAATCTAAACCTATTTGCAAACCAATCCTGACAATAAGAGACATCAGTGTTGCTTCTTTTAATGCTGTCATCTGCTGGGATTTTGGAAGCATGCCTTCTCTATAGTGGCCCCTGCCCTATGGAGCACTCTTCATCCTCAAATCAGGCAAACCCCAAATTCTTCTTGCCTTCTGGAAGGCCTTGAAAAGCTGGCTGTTGTGTCGGGTGGGACTAGAGTCTAGAAAAAAAATCCAGATGTTGATATATAGAGGAGTGTTTGCTCTGAGGGGGCTGGAAGGTTTTTTTTAATTATTGTTGTTCTTCTTCTTTGATATACAGTAATAATATTGTTTTTAAGCCACCCAGGGTTATGATATATAATATGGGGAGTCATAGTAGATAGATAGATAGATAGATAGATAGATAGATAGATAGATAGATAGATAGATAGATAGATAGATGAGAGAATAGGTGTCTATGAATTCATTAGCAAATATCTGTATAATCATCATTGTAACCCAATGCTAATCACTTCTTTGATGTGCCAGATTATATGCTGTGTGAACTAGGAGAAACTATAAGAAACCAACTTGTAATGCTTAAAACAATCTTGTCAAAATTGAAGTAGTGCAGCCATTGTGAAAAACATATGCTGTTAGTAAGCTCATAGCCGGGGGACCAGTAGATAATAAATATTTGTGCATTAAAAATGAAAGCAAGGCAAGAATAATTATTAAAAACAACAGGAAAGAAATAGTTTTTGTAAGAGGCTCTGATGCTGAAGTGATCAAAGTACATCATTCAGTGTAAATCTGGTATGCCTTAGCTTTTGATAATTTAACTTTTTTAATTAATAAGAATATAGAATCCCAACCAACGTTTTTAGGATGCTTGGGCTGGGTATATTGTTTTTCAAACAATGTCTTTTTATTTTGTGCAGGAGAAACAAACAGGGTCCAATTTTAGAACTATAAGTGCCCTGGAAGCACTTATGTTGCCTTTTGTGTGTTTGGCAAATGGATCCATTTTCTACCATTGCAGATTTCACTACTTTATATATTCTAGAAGTAGCTCTGGTTTGCCATGCTGAAATTGATAGATATGCACTGTGAGTGGTTGCACATCAATGGCTTGCCATGTAAAGTAGCCTTATTTAAGTTTGATTTTGTACAATTTACTTGGTTGCTTCTAGATTGTGCGAATAAGCTTTAGCCAATTTGGAGACTGCATCAACTTCTTGTTGTTGCAAGATGTTACAATGTGTGTTGTAGTTGTTATTCCACATCTCTGCAAACATTAAAGAATGTTGTGGACTTCTCAAACTATATTCAGTGACAACTATTGAAAATCATTATTTTTTTCATCATTAATTACATCTGCAAATTGACTGTTTAAATATAGCTTGAACGTTGTCTATTTTTCATACCAATAGAGTATACAGGTAATCCCCAAGTTACGAGCATTCACTTGTTTGAAGTTACGTGATCGGCGTCCCCTAGTGTTTACGAGTGACCGCAGAGACTCTGCAATATTCACCCGATTCCTCTCCCCGTTCCCCACAACTGCTTCCTCCTCCCTTCCTGCCACACCGGACTCACTTACCTTGCAAAATCTGTCTCCTCTCTGCCGCGGTTTCTTTCCCTTTGAGGGAGAGGAGAGTCAGCTTGGAAATGCTTTTTGGAAGCTCCTGGGTGCCATAATATTGTGCGAGTTCAAACACAAATTCTTTGCAAAAGAGATCATGGCCCCAGAAGCTTCCATTCTGAGGGGGAGGGAAGTGTTCTCTTCGTTTGCATGCCTATGGGGAAAGCGTGGAATTGGAGTCAACTGGGCGCAGGAACCAATGCTGTCCATGGCCCGGGTGCACTGCTCGCTCACGTGCGCCAGCCTTGGTTTGAGGGCAGGAATGAAGCCTTCAACTGAGTGGGGAGGCATTGCGGGGTGAATACCCCTGGACCTGCGTCCAAGTTGCTGATGGTGGCGGCAGCAACATCCACCTGAGCAGCTATGATCTTTCCTCCCCAGCCAGCCACCCACCCTGCACAACCTACTCCTTGCTTGACCGGCCAATGGCACAAATCCTCACCTCTCTTCTCCTTGTGCTCCTCTCCACTCAAGTGGCGGTGGCAGCTTCAGTTGCTCCACTCTGTCCAAAACGAAGAAGGTGGAGGGTCAGAGCAGGATTGCTCTCAAGAAGAC